TGATATCCTGTCAGCCTGAGGCAGGGAAAGATTTGGTAAGAGGGCCGTGGGGATGTGGTTCATGTCACCTGCCAGCTCTCGGAACTCCCAGGGGCCATACCGAGAGTGTATGATTCACCAACATCTTCTCCCTGGCAGTTGGATATATTCCCAGGGTCGCATGTGGAACAGTTACAACTCAGAGGACAAATGACTTATCTATATTCATGCAGCAAGAGAAAGGATGAGGCAGCTTTAAACCTGTCCTGGAGGGGGACTCCTCCTCCTCCAGAAGCATAGACAGAGTCTAAGCTAAGGTTCACATCTTGGCTCTGCCACTCCAAGCTGTGGGACCTTGAGTTTACCTAAACCTGATCTCTAGTTTCCTCTCCATGACATAGGAACAATGTACACACCTATGGGGTTGACGTGAGGGTTAAACAAGATCAGGTACGTAAAGTGCTTTGTAAACCAGTCAGCTCTATATCAATATTAGCCAGAGGACCAAACTATGAGAGGAACCAAAGTCATTTCTTGGAGTCATATCCTCAGTGCTAACCTAGCTGACTTCTTCCTCTTCAGGACAAGAGTGAGGCCTCCAGCAGAGCCTTGTCCAGAAGGCCTTGTCGTCCCAGACCTAACTCGCTGCCTCCCAACTTGCCTGAGGAAGAAACTCGCAGGATTGCACGGATATTTTCTTCCCAATACTCCCAGAAAGACTAATACAGACTGAAAGACAAAGGGAAGGATCCACCTGCCCACCCTCCTTTGGCCTTGTCCAGCTTGCATGAGGCACAAGGTCTGCTTCCTTCAAGGCCGTGAGAGCCCTGAAACCACCACCAGCCTAGTCCATGGGTACCTTGAGACCCATCCAGCGCAGCCTGGAGGAACATCCCAAACCAGTCCAAATTCCACCTGCTAGGATTTCAACGTCTTCCTTCTAAACCAAATGGATTCCAGTACCCAAGTGGAACCACCCATCTTTTGACCAAGGGACCCAAGCAGGCATCTCTCGGTTGAGAAACTCCTTCCAGTGTCCTTGATAGCCTACTGCTGACATGAGCCCACCTTCTGCCTGAATATCACAGGCCATTTTTGCCTTAAAGTTTGGGTGGGGTAGAGGAGGGGGTGAAGATTGTGTGTGTTGTGCATAGCTGAGGAAACCTAGGGCCACCTCCAATTGATTTGCTTAGAGATAAGGGTATTTTATAGATATAAATTATTTTTGTGCTGTGTTGAATCAATCAATAGAAAAGGAGGGGGAAAATCACCTCCTTCAGACTTTTTATCTGATTATCTGAGATTCTAACCATGCTTTTAACTTATTGTTTTTACCCAGCTCTGAAAGAGGTCATTGTTCCTGTGTTTGAATAAAATCATATTGGTATTGGTATTCTGTACACGGGTGTTTCCTGGGCTGGCCACTGGACTGGGGTGTTAGGAATCCATTTGTGCTCTAACAAACAGCCAAAGGAAAGCTTGAAAACCGTGCAGTCCCTTAAGCTCACTTGGAACCGGGGGCCAGGGTCACCGTGAGACTTCCCGGTGAGAGATCACACTGGTCCAGATTGGGGTAACACCCGGTTTTTCCTTTGCTTGTGCCTCAGATCCATCAGCAAAGTGGAGGGGTCGCCTGGAACAGGTCTGCTCAGAATCCCTAATCTCTCTAGAATAGATCGCTCTGGCTTAAGACTATCAGACTCCAAACATCTGAGCAGCTACTGTAGACAGGGCCTATGGGGAAGATAAGGGCAAAGCTGTGCGGAGTGGCTGGGAGAGAAGGTTGGAGGAGCACTAACATGGAGTCCCCGCTCTCCTCCCCGAGCACAGGTCATTTTGCTTAGTCCTCATAACAACTCTGTAACCTACAGGTCGTGATACCCATTTTATAGTTAAGCTGAAACTCACCAAGGTTAAGTTATTTGCCTCTGTTTATGAAGCTAGGAAATGAACCACCACACACATTTCCAGAGAGGTCACAAGGCTTCTGCACACAGGGAGTAGCCAGTGGGTGCCCTGAATTCGAGAAATTCATGAAGAAAGATCATGTGGGCTGGAGCAACCAGGGCAGGCTTCCTAGAAAAGTTAAGTCGGAGGATGAGCCCAGAGAAAGAACCAGGAGGGCACTCAGGGCCACATGCTGCTGGGGACAGGGAAGAGACAGGTCTGACGCTGCCACTTCCCTGATAGGCCCCCTCCGGCCTGACTGTCCCTCCATCTGAGCCTCCGTTGCCTCATCTGTAAAAGGGAGGGGATAGCGCTGCAGGGGCTTGTTGTGAGGAGAACCGGGGTGACATTTGTGAAAGTGCTTCGCCCGCACTTGGCACTTACTGGAAGCTGAGGAAATGTCAGCTCCTCCCACTCCTCCCCCACTCTCCTGGAGCTCCCGGAGCAAAGCAGCAGATAGGCAAGCAGGCCAACAACTCTCAGGCAGGACGTGCCTGACGGTAGAGGCTAATGCGCGAACCCCCAGGAGGGACAGAGTGCCCCCCGCATCAGTGCAGTGCCCTCCGACCAGGCCGTTGCCCTTTCTTGTTCACCTCGCCGCCCCCCGCCTCCCCCGGCCACCAGCCTGCCAGCTCGCCCCCTCCCCAGCGCCTTCCTCTCTGGCTGACAGCGGGGAGCTTTCAAGGCAGGGGGCCCCGCCTCCCTTAAGGCCACATGGAACCTACAGAGGGGCAGGCAGGGGCCCAGGCCTGAGGGGTTAAGCCTCAGGTGAAGGATATTCCTTCCAAATCCTACTCCAGCTTCTGTAAATAACCTGATGGGGTCAAGTTAGGATAAGGCCTCAGGAGGACACGGGCTCCCCCTACCCAGGCTCAGGGCAGCCCCCGGTAACACAAGGGCACCCTAAGGGTCTGTAAACCATCACCTACACTTAAAAAGACTGTGTTACTTACCAGTATCTTCCCCCTGGAAGTTGGATCTCTTTCCCGGTGACAGCTCAGAAGTGAAATGCCTCGCAAGCCATGCAGCCTGGCTCAAGGGCAGGAGGTGCGCATTTGACAACCAGCCACCATCTCCCTCACCTCCTTTCAGGCACTGCCTCTGCAGAGACCTGAAATGGGTGTTTCTGATCCCTGGACGCTGGTGGATCCCAGCCCCTTGCAGCCAACCTTGGAACTTCCAGTTCCTGGTGGGTTCTGGGGACAGGGAGCCAAAGCAGACACACCTGGCCCTGCCCTCAAGAAGCCTCCCAGGCCAATGTAAGCTAAGTCCTCCCTCTGGGTACTCCAGGGCCATGGCCTCCTTGTTTGAGCTCCTGCTGTTTATCCCTCCCCCCGTACCCACTGCGATTCACCCACCACCTTCCAGCCAGCATTTCCAGCTGGAGCCCACAACCCACTTCCTGAGCCCAACCCCAGCGGTCCTAGCAGCCCCTTCCCTTATAAACACCCACACAACTGCCTGTGCTGCTGCTGTTAGGGCAGGGCCTGGTCCAAGGAAGAGGACAGACACAGCCCTGGCTTTGCACTTGAGTGTCTGGACTTGTGACCACTTGCCCTGTGGCCATGGCTCTGTGCCCAAGTCCAGAAATGGCTTCGGCCTACTCCTCTGCCTGCCCAGTTCATTCCCTTCCCACTCCCTCTCCCTCCCTTCTCCGGTCCCCCTCCCCTCCTCTTTCCTAGGTCACAGGAACCTGGAACCTGGAACCTGGAACCCGGGTCCCAGGTTCAGATGTGGCCCACCCTTGCCCTCAGCGCCTCCTGACGGAGCCTACAGTAGTAGCAGCTGCTAGGGTGTCTCCCTGCTCTGCCCCACACACCTCTCCCAGCCGCCTTCGGCTCCCTTCAGCAGTGTCCGTGCTGAAGCCTCCAAGTGTCCTGTCTGAGACGGTAATGGTCACAGCCGATAGGCCCCAGAATAAGATACTACAATTTAAGGGCTGGAGGTCGGGCCCTGCCATATACTAGCAATATGACCTGGGTAAGTCCATGTCCCTCCCCGACACCATTTTCTCCTCTGTAAAGGAAGCATTGCAAACGTTAGGATGCTCAGCAATAAAAAAGGAATGAGGTACTGATACATGCTATAACACGGATGCATCTTGAAAGTACTATGCTAACTGAAAAAAGCTAGTCACATACTACATGATTTAATTTATATGAAAGGTTCAGAAATCTATAGAGATAGGGGTGTCTGGGTGGCTCAGTTGGTTAAGCATCTGCCTTCGCCTCAGGTCATGATCCCGGAGTCCCGGGATCGAGTCCCACGTCGGGCTCCCTGCTCAGTGGGGGAGTCTGCTTCTCCCTCTGCCCCTCCTCCCACTCTTGCTCTCTCTCAAATAATTAAATAAAATCTTTTAAAAAAAGAAGTCTATAGAGACAGAAAATAGATTTGTGATTGCTTGGGGCTGAGTGGGAGGGAAGAAGGAAAGTGACTACTGACGTACACAGGGATTTTGGGGGGCCAAGTGGGGAGTGGTGAAAATATTCTAAAATTGTGATGATGGTTGCATAACTGAACACTAAAAACCACTGAATTGTATCCATTAAATAGGTGGATTGTATGGTATGTGAATTATATCTCAGTAAAGCTGTTATTTAAAAAAACAGAACCCTGGGCACCTGGGTGGCTCAGTCAGCTAAGCATCTGCGTTTGGCTCACGTCATGATCTCAGTCCCTGCTCAGTGGGGAGTCTGCTTCTCCCTCTGCCTCTGCCCCTAACCCCTGCTCATGCGCTCTCTCTCTCTCAAATAAATAAAAAAAAAAATCTTTAAAAAATATATATAAATAAATAAGTAAACAACAAAATCTTAATACTACTTATCTCATAGGGTTGTGAAAAATAGAAATAATATATATAAAGTACCTGGCACATAGTAGGCACCAAGAAATGACTGTTACTATCATTGTTAATGTTAGGAGAGCCCTGCCCAGCCTATCGTGTGTGGCCTTGACCTTTGAATTCTCAAAGGTGACTGGTCCAACCCCTATCCCCACATATGCACTTATTACCTAAGGTAGCTCTTTCAGCAGCTGGAAGGAGCTATTTTAAAGAACCCAAGTCAGAGGAACTAAACCAGATCTGGAACTCTGACCTTTCCCCTCACCTCCCTGCCACTCACCAGCCAGCCGCCTCTTGTCAGGTGATCAGGCTGTCAACTAAGCTTCTGTAGGGTAAGGTTTCAGGTCAGCTGGAGCATATAAAGATAGGTGCCAAGCCAGAGGCAGCAGAGACAACAGTGAATGGCGAGGGGGCAACTAGATCCCTGCTGCCACCTCCTGGGATGGAGCCCTAAGGAGCCTTAAGGCGGCCCTGTGCTTCCCCTACCCTGGCTGGACTCACAGGTAAGACCCATTCTCCACCACCCCCTTCCCCCTCCATGTTCTGCCCTTCACGGCAGCTTACAGAGAGCAGCCAGGAGCTGACGGGGATCACTAGCCTGGGATCACTACAGAGCTGGTAGATTGCATTCCTCCCCCACCGAGTCAAGAGGGGGTAACTGGAACCCTGATGAGGGGGCACCGTGGCTGGGCCGAGGCTCGACCCCAACACCCGTGTCACCCACAACTCACTGTCCCCTTTCTCTGCTGGCTGCCTCTGCTGTGACTTTGCAAATCTCCATAGATAAGAAGTGGCTTTCTCCTTAGTCTGGCACAGAATCTCCAGAATTCCTCCAGAGCATTAAGCCCTTTCCCCATGAGGGTCCTGGGGACCCCCTTCCTGAGTTAGAGATGCTGCAGGCACCTCTGGCCTCACATACAGGGAGGTTTACGAGCCCAAAGAACTCTACTCAGGTTGCTTCCTCAGCGGGGATATGCTGTGGAGGCTTTGCCAGGAAGGTGAGATCGGGCAGGGCATCTCAGAATGGGGTCCTCCGATCCCTGCTTCTGAGTTACCATGGAGAAGAGATGCCCCGGCCCCAGCCCAGACCTGAATCAGGACCTCTGGCACTGACGGCCTCTGAGAATCCACTCTGTAAACAAGCAGCTCCAGGGATCCTGACCTCTCCCCTGACATGTGAGGCTCTGGACAGCGGCACAGGCGCGGTGTCAGACAGAGCTGGGCTCCAACCCCAGCCCCAACCCTTCCGTCTTATGACCAGCTGAAGCCCTCACAGCCTGAGGTCCCTTGGTTATGAAGTGGGAATCACTCTGACAACTACCGTATAGCCTTATATTCAGGGACTGAATTAGTCAATACCTGTAAGGCCCTCACCACCGTGCCTCATTGCAAGAAGCACCAAGCAGACGTTAATGGGGCACTACTACTGTGGCCATGTAGCTGGGACATCCCATCACTCAAGTGCCCCAGTGGAGAGAGTTCTGCTCTCAACTTCCCCTTTGCCATTGGCAAAGTTCTGCTGGCTGCTAGATTTCCTCAAGTATCGATTCAGGAGGGTGGAGTCAAGGGGGAAGGAAGATGGGAAGCAGTGGCCTCGGGGCAGCCCCCACCTAAGCGTACCATTGTGGCCTCCCTCTCCACCACAGCTTGACTAATGAAAGTTCTAGAGCCCCCTCCGCCCCCCCCAAGGTATGGCTTTTGACTTGAGTCCATGCCCATCCATTCTGCCTCCCATGAGTGGCTCAGAACTGCGTCTGAAATAGGTTCCAGCTTCACCCACGGCCGCTGCTCTTCAGGCTCCAACACCCCTTGCTGCACCATTCCAACAGCCTCCTCACTGGCCTCTCACCTTCCAGCCCAGCCTTGACATTTGCACCAGCATACTCTGAACGCTGGTCTGATGGTGTCATTCCTCGACTTGAGAACCACCAACCACTCCCCATTCTCTGCTAGATTCAGTACAGCCCTGGCATTCCAGACCCTCCACCAAAGAACATGAAGGGCTGCTCTGATTTCATTTCCCATTTCTCCACTTGAGCAAGTGGGGTTGCTTGGTCAACTGGTCCTCCCTGGGCCCCTCTAACCCTGGGCCATCCCTGTACCAGGCTACACAGAGAAGCTGGATCAGTAGACCCTATCCCTGCCTTTGGGGCTCCCTATCTAGGGGGGAAACAACTGCAGTTAATGAGCTAATCAACAGAGGCTGGGGCAAAGGAGTTTCTTGACAGTTCAACCTCCCCCAGTCCTCCCACCCAACTCCCAGGCCAGGAGGAAAACAGGCTTCCCCAGGGAGACCCAGCCCATGAGACAAAACTCATGAAGTGTTCCCTGTGGGCCCAGGTACATCACAAATACTCTGCATCAGGGGGCTAAGACCAGAGAATGCCGCGGAGTCACATAGCCCTGGTGGGAATCCCACTTCTGCTCACTGGATGACCTCTGACAGCTCATTTCACCTGTCTGGCCCTCAGTTTGTAACTATGCAAGTGGAGTAAAAATACCTAACTTGTAGAATTCTTCTATTAGAATCTGAGTGGCTACCAAAGGCTTTGAAGAAAGGACACCTATGACCAGTAAGAGACATTAGAGAACACGACCCCCAAGGGCCTCCCTAGCTCTGAGAGTCAGACACTCAGATTCCTGACGCTGGCGCTCTGAGCAGTCCAGCTCACGTCAGAGAAGGGGAAAGGCTAAGGAAATGCCAGGGCTTGGAACAAGAGAGGCAGCTGCTTGTGCATATACCTGCACATGCATTCCAGCCCCAGAGAGAGCCTCCTCCTTGTTGGGAACTGAGCCCTCCTGGCAGCTGCTGGTCTTCTGTAGGCAAAGGGAAATGGGAAGGAGGCAAGTGGAGGACGGTGTTCCCCTAGCATGCTGCAGTCTGTCCCCTCCACCAGGCTCAGGTCCACGGGCACCAGCGCCTCCACACCACCACCCCTAGGAGCCAGATTCTTCTTGGACCCTCAGGGAGGCAGTATAGAAAAGCAGGAAGACAGGCTGTGGGAGGAACACTGCAGAGGGAGCCCAAGGCCTGACTGTGTGGCACACGCAGGTCTCAGCCTCTCTGGCCATTTTCTTCATCTGCCAAGCTGGGCGGTGATGCCCACCTAGCCTTCCTCACCAAGCTGTTGTTCTGTATGCTTAGCACATAATTCTCTAGATGGGCTGGCATATAATTCATTAACTGCAAAGGGCTTTGAATGCCCTCAATAAAAAAGACAAGGTCTGGAAATCCATACTACCATACCCACTGGGGTCCCGAGCTGAATGGTGAAGGGGCCTCACTGCCAGGAGAACTTAGTTGAGGTTCTGTACCTTTCCATCGGTCTCTCTCCATCTTAAGCCTCTTTTTCTCATCTGTGAAATGGATTTACAGCTTCCCTGCCTTCTTTCCAAGGCTGTTTCGAGCCTAGTACAGCAGAGTGAGCCAGGCTTGGACACTAGTGGCTAGTAACACTCAGCAAGCTAATGTCCCCAAGTCCTGGTTTGCTCATCCAAAGTAGGGGAAGGAGCAGCTGCCTCTCAGAAAAGTTGGGAGAATTCACTAGGATTGTGTGCAAAAACTGCTGGGAGGGCCTCAGAGCCAGGTGGTCGTTTTCTCCTCCTACCTGAATCCATGCCCTGGACTCTCACACAAGCTCATGCCCTTCCCTGCATCTGGAACACCCTTCCTGCTTCAGCTGCCAAAATCCTGCCCACTTTTCAAAGCCTAACTTATGTGACCCTCCTCCCACCCTTCACCATGAAATGGTTCTTATTCCACCTCACAAACAAAAGAGGGGGTCTCCCCCTCCTTTGAGTCCCTTCTTGGGGCTTTCCTCCCCTCTGACATTGGTCCAACCCATCTTATGTGGATGTGTCTGATGCCCCCACAAGACTCCTTGAGAGTTCCTTGTGGGCAAGTCACACAGGCTATTTGCTCATCCCCAGATTTCCTGGAATGCCAAGCACAGAACCTAGCATGAGGTGGGTCTTATGGAGTCCACCAACCATGGCAAGGACTTTGGACTTTGTTCTGAAGAATCCAGGATCCCAGCACATGAGGGGTATGTGTGCGTTGGGTGCCAGGGGGTGTGACCTGCTAAGAAATGGCATCAGCGCCAAAAGCCAGATGCCCAGAAGTTCACGTTATAAGAATACCGGGCTGCCCGTGACAGGCAACGTGCCAACTTCCCAAGGTAACCACAGCTAAACCAGGACCTTGGGATGTGAATGTGCCCCTGTTCAGCCAGCAGTAGGACCGGTGCAGCTACAAGTGCACACGGGGAGAGGGGACACATTCTCTTGACCCAACGCCGATCCTCCTCTGTCTGAGAAGCCCGATCTCTTCAGCTGAGAAGGGATGCCCTCCGGGGTGTGAGGGGGAAAGGGCATGTGCTGAGCCAGGCAGAGCAGCTGCCGCTGCCAACATTAGCAGCGGACACTCTGTAGCCCCATCTCCCTAGGAGCCGTGGGGGGGCGGGGAGAGCAGCAGAGGAGCATGGGACCAGTCTCCCTCCCTCCTCCAAAGCAGAACATCAGCCCCAGGAATCCCACAGTGTTGAGAGGAAATGCCTCCAGTCACAGATAAACAATCTCTACTGACAGGGAGGAATCACAGGCTGGGAAGGATTTCGTTTTAAGTAGAATAAGAGTATATTCAGGCAACCTTGCAAAAAAAAACAAAAACAAAAAAACACCAAGCTTTCATCCAAGATAACTAACAGTTTAGGTGAGTCATGAGGCACATTTATATTGCTGATCTGGGAAAGAAGGACCTGAAGTGGAGAGACTTGGTAGGCTCTCCGTACACTTCAGGGAGCAGGTCCTTCCCAGGGAGCAGTCTGATGCAGGAGAAAGAGAACAGGGTTGTAGGGTGGAGTCAGAATGAGGTCTAGTCCCTGCCTGAGCCTCAGTTTCCTCCTCTAAAGGATGAAGATCCACCTGGTCAGTGGAGAGAGGAGGGGGGGGCGGGTGAGGATCACAAGAGAGAAGGGCTGGGAAAGTGACCTGTTCTTATAAGCCAAATCTGCACAGCTAAGCATAGCAATACCCAGGCTTTTCTCTTACTAAAGCTTCTCCCAGTGCTGAAAGGAGACTGGGGACAGTCTGGATGGCCCAAGTTCCATCTGCCTCCTCTGGCCTGTCTCCTACAGCCTCCTCCCTGCACTAAAGCTCAGAACTGCAAAGCGGCCTCTCTCCTTGGACCTCTGCTGGGCCCTGGAGGGACCAGGCAGAACATTCTGGGACCATGGTTGGACTAAAGCCTTCAGAAGTACCTCCCACCACAGCTGTGAAATTCCTGGGGGCAGGCACAGCGGCCTGTTTTGCTGATCTCCTCACCTTTCCACTGGACACAGCCAAGGTCCGCCTGCAGGTAGGTGCTTTTTGGCAAGGGTCATTGTTCAGATCAAAGGAGGGACTGAGTTCTCCACTCCAGCACCTCTTGTGTGTGCCAGCCTGCTCTCCTCGCACAGCAGGCCACTCACACCACTGCTTACAACCCTGCCTCACCATCATCCAAGACAAAAAAAAAAATCTTAGCTCCTTGGGCCCTTCATGGCCTCACCCTACTTTGTAAACCATGGAGTGTGAAGTAAAAGTAAGTAGCTGTGTGACCTTGGGCAAACCACTGACCCTTGTTGTGGGAAGAACAATCTGCCCTCCATTTGCTCTGAGGGCTGAGCACCACACCATGTATAACAGCTTATGAGCAATACCCTGATGCACAAACCTCAGTTGTTTTTACTGGGATGTGATGGCTATAATCCTGCTCCTGCTCGAGAACCAGCCCTGGACAGCTCCTTCTGCACACAGCCCCCTCTCCCCTCCTCCCAGCTCCTCACGCCTCTGCTGGGATGTTCCTCAGATCCAGGGGGAGAACCAGGCGACCCAGGCAGCCCAGAGACCCCAGTACCGCGGCGTGCTGGGCACCATCCTGACCATGGTGCGCACCGAGGGCCCCCGCAGCCCCTACAACGGGCTGGTCGCCGGCCTGCAGCGCCAGATGAGCTTTGCCTCCATCCGCATTGGCCTCTACGACTCTGTCAAGCAGTTCTACACCCCCAAAGGAGCGGACCGTGAGTGCCTGGTATCCTGTAGACACCAAGGGGATAGGCAGAGGCAGACTCTAGGCTAGTGGGTCAGACATGAGGGCAGTACAGACTCAGAGAAAGAGCTGGGGCGTAGGAGGCGGGTAATAGACACTCATGAGGAGACTGAGCCGCTGTCAGGACCTTGAGCCTAGAAGAGGCAGGTAACAGGCAAGGGCAGCTCCACAGAGAACAGCATCCAGCCCAGAGAAGTACTGGGTGGCAGAACACTGACCCACTCTTCTCTCCTTCTCTCCAGACTCGAGCATCACTACCCGGATTTTGGCAGGCTGCACCACAGGGGTCATGGCGGTATCGTGCGCCCAGCCCACGGATGTGGTGAAGGTCCGGTTTCAGGCCAGCATACACCTTGGGGCCGGGAGCAACAGGAAATACAGTGGGACAATGGATGCCTACAGGACCATTGCCAAGGAGGAAGGGGTCAGGGGCCTATGGAAAGGTAGGTCTGGACTCCAGGCTCAGAGGGCCGTGGGCAAAGCATGCCTTACCCTTGAGCTAGGGCAGAGAACCGAGCAAGGAGGGAACTCCCAGCATGGTATATTCCAGTGATTCTGTAAGAACATCCCAACCAAAACTATCACACTGACCTGCCCCAAATTCAGTTCAATGTGTCAACGCTTCAGCATGCGCAGGCTGCTGTGAGGGAAACAGAAATGAATAGAAGATACCTGCCATACCCTCATGGCTCTCACAGACAAAGAGAGATGAGACATGTCAAGGAGCAGCCATTCCACAGGGTAGGATGTGCGAGGTTCACACAGAGGTATACGGCCAGAGGCAGGAGAGGCCATGCAGGCTCCAGGGGGAAGGTGACACGCAAGCTGGGCCTCAAGGCTCAGTGGGCTCTAGGTGTGTGGAGATGGAAGGGTAGGGCTTCCCCAGCAAAGTTCTATCAGGAGTGACTATAGGACATGGGGAGGAAACGGAGGCCAGTGGAGGGGGCAGCTGTGAGTTGTCGGATGTAGGGAGATATGATGAGAACTAGGCTTCCTCAGGAGTAAGGTTTCCGGTTCCCTATGTGTCCAAGTGGAGGCCACCTTGACAAATGCTGGGATCTCTCCTCCATGTGGACCAGGGGTCATACAAATCCTTGTAGAAGAAACAGTGACCCAGTGAAGGTTAAGGACAGGACACCTGGGTCACAACCTGATTTGCTCTGTGCTCTCCTGAAGCCCTGACCTCATCTGTGATATCGGTGGCTGGGTCTTGAAGCTGTCCTGGGGCCTCCCAGGGCTACTGTCTGTCACTGCTCCAAGAGCCTTCCCTCCCTCCTCCAAAAAAAGGCTTCCTTGCCTGGCTTTAGCCAGATCTCACAGAGGCATATTTTAATTTTGATAGATATTGCAGATTATTCTCCAAAATGTGGCTCAGACAAACATAAGAGGGCCTCTCTGTTTTCTGTCTCTGAGATGGACATGGATAATCTAAGAGTTAATCCCAGAGAGGAAAGCCTGGAATCCGCTCAACCGAGGCAGGTTCCTCTGAGACCACTGGAATGGAGCATTCTGCCCCCAAACTGGGGCCTGTGGCCTTGCAACCAGGGCGTCCACATCTATTTTTCACTAATCAGCCCCCACCCCATCCTTCACAGGAACTTTGCCCAACATCACAAGGAATGCCATCGTCAACTGTGCCGAGATGGTGACCTATGACATCATCAAGGAGAAGCTGCTAGACTATCACCTGCTCACTGGTGAGGCCCTGGGCTCCAGGGAGCTGCCCTCCCACAGCAGGGAGGGAACCTGGAATTCCACAGAGTGGGCACCACTCAGAGGCAACTGGGTGTTAGAAGGAGCAGAGAGAGGAGCAGTGCCCAGTAAAGATGCCCAGTAGGAGTGCCTCTCTACTTGCTGGATGGGGTGCTGCCCAATTCATAAATCACTTAAGAATGCCAATTAGATCTTTTAAAAAATGCCCAGTCCATCATTGTGCTGAGTGGGAAAGAACTCTGGATAAGGAGGCCAGAGCCCTGGGTCCCAGCCCGGCACTTCCCACCGTGCATCTTGAAGCAAGAGTCGCCTTCTCTGACTTCATTTTCCTCTAATGAGATCGCTGGGCTGCCCAGCCTGCCAACTGTGGGATAGCCCTGTTCTATTTGGCAAGTCCTGTGAGAGCTCTAGAAAGCACTATCCTACATTCAAGGAGTTCCCAGTTTAGTGAAGGACAAATGATGACACATATGGAACAGAAAGCCAGCACACTGCCATCTCACAGCTCCATGCTTGCTCCTCCCTTCCCTGCTACAGACAACTTCCCCTGCCACTTCATCTCTGCCTTTGGAGCTGGCTTCTGTGCCACAGTGGTGGCCTCCCCAGTGGATGTGGTGAAGACCCGGTACATGAACTCGCCCCCAGGGCAATACCGCAGCCCCCTGGACTGTATGCTGAAGATGGTGGCCCACGAGGGACCCACAGCCTTCTATAAGGGGTGAGCCTCCCCCTCCTGCCTCCAGCACCCCCTCCCAGAGAACCTGGGCTTGTTTCCTTCCCTCCTTCCTTCCATGTATAACGTGCCTGCCGTAAGTCCACCTGGGGACGTGGTGAACAAGCACAGATGTAAATGCCACAAAGGACAAATATAAAGAACTATGGAAGTTAAAAAAAAAAAAAAAAAGTGGACCAAATCTGATTTGGAGAGTCAGGGGAGGCTTACCTGAGAAAAAGAAGTCTAGGCATAGGTCAAAGTACTGTCTATCCCCAAACTTATTGGGCAAGGGAGAAGGAGGGAAAGGTGGTTGGTAGTCCTGAGACCTTTCTCCAACCCACTGTCATGACTGTGGGTCACCACTGATGGCGGCCACAGTGCCCAACACATATCACATTTTCTTGCTCCGTGTCTGCTTTTACCATTCCCTCTTAATGGAATGCCTTTCCCACCTCATGCACGTGCTTCAGAACTAGTTCAAATGCCACCTCCTCCCCAACATTCTCAGGTACAGATGTTTCCTCCTCCCTGTGAACTGCAGCAATACTTCCTTGATACCATTTTTATGTTATTTACCACCTCCTACTTTGTGTTATAGGATTTGTAAGTTTAAATTATCCTGCATGCTACATCACAAGCTCCTTAAAGCCAGAACTGGTGGCTTACGTGTCTTTCATCTCCCTAGCTGAAAGCCGGCACTCAATAATGTAGGTTATTAACGATCACCATGACCACTAAGTCACCAAGTACAAGGCCTTACACAAAGCACTTTACACAGATTATCTCAACAACCCCCTGAACGGGGCAGTATTCTCCACATTTACTGAGGAAGAAACTGAGGCTCAGAAAGGTCAAGTGACTTACCCAAGATCACAGATTTAAAATGTCAGAGCCATGGCTCTGAGCCAGATCATCAGATGTCACCCCAAATGTCGTCATCCATCCTACTGTCAAGCTCTTGGCTTGGCTCTCACACCTCCCACTACTGATGCCTTTCAGCAGATAGTTTTCTGGTGCCCAATGTTAGAATGGACCCAACAGGCAATCAGATTCTCAACCCTGTGACATCATAAAACTATTTCAATTGCCAGACTTCTTTTCCTGTAAGTGCTTCTATCATTACAATCATCAGCAGTAGCCACCTGTCTTAGTTTCTTCTTTTTTATTTTCAAAGATTTTATTTATTTATTCATAAGAGAGAGAGAGGCAGAGGGAGAAGCAGGCTTCCCGCTGAGCAGGAAGCCCGATGCGTGACTCGATCCCAGGACCCTGGGATCATGACCTGAGTGGAAGGCAGACGCTTAACCATCTGAGCCACCCAGGTGTCCTCAGTTTATTCTTTCACTTGGAAAACATTTACTGAGCATCTCATGTGTGCCAGGCCCTGTGCTTTCCTCAAAAAGCAGCAGACACAGGTGACATTTATGGGGCATTTACGGATACTGGGCCCTGTACTGTATGCTGTACATTAACTCATTTATTCCTTCACAACAGCTCTATGGGGTAACTGCTGTTATTGTCCTCATTTTACAGATGAGGACACTGAGGCTTAGAAAGATTAAGTAACCTGTCCTAAGTCATGAAGCTAGAAACTGACAGAGCTAGCATCTGAACCCAGGTCTGACTCTAGAGTTCACATTCATTGCCCCAGTGCTATTCTCCGTGGGGAGGCTAGGCTGAGGGTTCTGGAGAGACCTTGGTATGAGGCTATGGGGCCGAAGCCGAGTCCTACAGAGCCAAGAGCAACCAGCCCCGCAAGGAGGAGAGTAGGGGACATTCCCAGGCAGAAGGAGCAGCACAGGCAAAGGCATGGAAACAAGTCTGGCAGGAGAGGAGAGGATCAGGAGGGGATTAGCAGAGAGAGAGAAAGGCTGAAGAAGGAGCCGCGCCAGGTCCCAGGCTCCTCCCTGAGTCTGCAAAGCTGAGGTGGGGACTGTCTCCCAGCTGCGCTATCACAGGACAGGCAGGCTCTCTGGAGATTAGCTAAAGTTGGTGTCACCCAGTCTTGACCCCTTGGTATGCCAGCTTCTAGATACCCCGGCAGGGCCTCCTCAGGGATGGCCCCTCAGCATGTAAATGATTCCAGGAATACCCAGCAGCAGGGTGGAGTCAGGTAGTTTTAGCTGAGCTCCTTAACTACTGTGGGCTTCAGTTCCTTTTTTTTTTTTTTTTTAAGATTTACTTATTTGAGAGAGAGAGAGCACGCATGCAAGCGGGGGCGGGGGGCGGGTAGGGGCAGAGAGAGAGAGAGAGAGTAAATCTCAAGCAGGCTTCCCACTGAGCGCAGAGCCTGACTCAGGGCTCCATCCCATGACCCTGAGATCAAGACCTGAGCCAAAACCAAGAGTCAAATGCTTAACTGACTGAGCCACCCAGGTGCCCCTGGAGTTTCTAAAAAAGAAACCTGGCAACCATCAGAGCTGCCTTATAGAATTGTGGGAATTAACTGCCTAACACAGAACCTGTCTCAAAATGTGTTTTCCTTCCTTTCCTGACTCCAGCTTCTGCCTAAATTCCTTAAGCAGAGAAGGAAAAGCCTCAACAGATCTCAGAGACTGCTTGTAACTAATAGAAGCCTAGGTCCTTTGGCACTAACACTGTGAATGGGGGGAGCACCGGAGATCTATTTGGGATTCTTAGTCCACTCCACCTGATGTTTGGTTTTTTCTCTCATCAGATTTACACCATCCTTTTTGCGTTTGGGAACCTGGAATGTGGTGATGTTCGTGAGCTATGAGCAGCTGAAACGGGCCTTCATGAAAGTCCAGATGCTACGGGAATCTCCATTCTGAATAAAGCAAGCCCACCTGGTACTTAACTAGAACAAGAACCAGTGGGTCCAGGCACACACAAACCCACATATGTTTACAGAACTGTTTACTTGCTACTGAGTCAAGAAATAGAAGCAGAGGAAGGATTCTGGTCTTCAGTGCTTTGTCTTAAGAACACATCTGTTTTGCACTGACAAGATGGAAATTAAATTATATTAATTTGGGGGACCCATATGTTGGATGCCTAACATTTAGGCAAGAGAAAATAAACCAAAACATCCATTTGGATAAAACAAAAGTTTGTAAACCTCTGTTCTCTAAAAAAAAATCTGATTAAATGACGAATTGTAAACAGGGAAGACTGCAAGCATGGGACAGCAGTGGCACATGACACTTGGAAAGCAGCTAAGGAGTTTGGAGGGATGCTGCCAAAGCAAAATAGCTGTGACTACAGCCTTTGGTTAACCGTGGATCATCAGCCATATATGTAATGTGCCTGCCACTTAGAAGCCATTGGGATTCTAGAAAATATGAGACCAAAAAAAGACAGAGAGAAAGAAAACCTGGAACCTGTGCCAAAGGAACACTGCTGGGCCAGCATGAGGCTGAGACTCGTAACTGTTCCCTGATTACACTGGAGAATCAAGAGGGCAGACTCCATCTTCTCTCCTGTAAGATGGGAGTAATAATCGTTTCCCTCCTCTCTCACCAGTGATCGTATGAGGATAAGTGACAAGGTGGACACGAAAGCACTTTCTAAAAGCAAAAGCTCTGATATTTACAAGTGTAAATATAAGGACAAGGCCTTGGGAAAGATTTTCTCAGGACAGTGAGGAAGTGCCAGGGAAGTTTTTGAAAGGTTGAAAGGTTGTCTAGAGCTTAGACCAAAGGAGCTAGGGGCTGGGGCGCCAGGGGTGACAGAGAATGGTGTGCACTCACAGAAGCCCCACTCCCACGCAGCCCTTGCTTCCCAGCAGGACTGTGAGGCTCCTGAGGGGTGCTGGGCTTGGGGAAAAAGAGGTAGATGTCAGGCTGACAGCCTAAAGTAGCAGGACTCAGAGGTTTTTGGAAAATTAGTATAATTCAATAAAGGGTGTGGGAATGAGAACAGCTATTTTTTTTTTTTTTTTTTTTTTTGCCTTTTCTTTCTTGGACAGAATGTCCCTTTCTCACCAGGTTTCCT